AATGTCTCGCCTTGCCTCACTGTAGCAATCAATTAACTTTGACAGTTCCTTATTTGTCATCCCCATTTTCCAGATATAATCATGGAGTCCCGTGAAGAAATATGCCCTTATTCCTTTTGAAGGCCACGTACGAAACTGAGAAGACTCTATTCAGATGGAGGCTTAGTAAAGAAACGTGCTCGCAGGTTCAGTCTTCTATTTCCTGAGGTCGAGAGAAGAATACCACTTCTTTCTGCCAAAGGAAGTGCAATCCAGCGACTCGTGGGGCGGGGCCATAAATTATGCAGGTACTGGTATTAATAATGGGTTTATCCCTACCATGGAAAAACCCCTTATCGGTTTTTTTTATTTACACCGAAATGCTGCGCCAATATTATCCCCGGTCGCCTCATCCGTCGTAATGCCTGGGTTTCGAAACCCAAAATTTCCTCCCTGAATCCTATAGGTCAGGAGACCTATAAGACCCTATAGGGATCCTATAGGATCCTATAGGTTTTTCGTGTTTCAAAAACCTATAGGAATGTCTATAGGTTTCCTATAAGAAATAACTATAGGATTCCTATAGGACATTTCCATAAGGGGTGCTATCTTCCACCTCATGGACTCCAATGAATCTCAAAGAGCGCCGCGTTTTTTTTGTCTCACCCTGTATAAGTATTATTTGACTTTTCTTGCCCACGTGTCGAAAATTGTAGTTGAATAACCCGTTTTTTGCGCTCCTAGCAAAGTTTGACCTCATTTTTCGCAATGTAAAATTTCACATAAAAATTGACTCCTATATCATTTGAAAGAGCATTCAAAGATCTATTTGACGACGTTTCGTTATGTTAGTCAGGTATCGAAATGTTATGATTTTTCGAATAGTGCTAGGTTGTGGCATTGGTTCTATTCAATATTGCCTTTGGTAAAAACTTGCTCGGTGTTTTTAGTATTTTTTGGTATTTGGTATTTTTTTTATGGCATTCATATTCCATTCCACATTATAATATCTTATGTTCCTGCGCAGAGTGTGCAGTTTTCAGTTTCAACAAGAAGTGGATATACTTCCAAGCCAGAAGCAGGAGTATCATCGTCATGGTCAGCGAAAATAAACAAGACCGAGGACGCCCTTTGAAGACCAAAGGGAACAAGGAAGAATACCCCGGCATCATATCTGCAAAACCCCACGAGAATCCATGCAATGTTGAGGTAAGGTCCTCTGCACTCCACAGTAGTGTGTCCTTTCAGTGTAATAGATAGCTGACCGCTTTCTTTTTCGGAGAAAGCGCGAACTTCTTTTAAGAGTCTG